ATGTGCCTGTTTTAATGTAGCACTGCATAATATATATATATATATATATATATATATATATATATATATATATATATATATATATATATATAAACCTCGTAAGTCGTATGGAATTTCCAAGAGGATAAAAATCCAAGGAGAGTTCTATGTCGGAGATAGATCAAAATTATTAATTAATGATTATCAAACATTTAACAATATCGTAGGTAACATTCTTTATTTCATGAATGCTATAAAAATAACCTTCAATCTTTCGGAACTGTAATCCAAATATAAACGAAAAAATATATTTATATACACAAACACTCTCACACGCACACACACACACACACACACACACACACACACACACACATATATATATATATATATATATATATATATATATATATATATATATATATATATATATATATATATATACTAGCAGTAGAGCCAGTGTTGCCCAGGGGGATGTAACAATGAAAAAAGATCAAGTATCGACCATCATAAAGACAAAGATTATTGTTTAAGGTTGACGGACACGCATGTCTTAATTAGTTTTTTTGTTTTGTTTTGTTTTGTTTTTTTCTTTTTACGAATTGGTCAAACCCAGACTCAAACAAAACATTGTTTTCAATCGTTATGACTCTAACGATTGAATAGAATTTTATTATAAACAATTGTCTTGTAAATGGAATTTTCAAAGCATTCTGAATGTAATAATAAAGAAAAAAGTGTGCAAGACAATAAGAGACACTACCTGCCAAAAAAGGTGAAGTTTTGTTGAAATTGGTTGAAAAATCCGATCCCATATATAAACGAACACACATATACACACACACAAACAACCTGGGTTTTATAATAAGTATGACTCGATATGAGTTGTCCCTCCTTTCATTCTCGCGGTGCCTCTTAATCGTGTTTTCAAATTGATTTCGTGCAAAAACAATTGTGTTTTTCCAATTTTTGGCGCTGTCAGAACCACCGCAAGGTAATTTTAAGTAGTCCTGTGAAGTTTTGTTGAAATCGGTTTGAAAAATGTAAAAATCCGATCCAATATATAAACGTACAACACACACAGCCTGGGTTTTATAATAAGTATGATGATATATATATGAGAGAGAGAGAGAGAGAGAGAGAGAGGGAGGTTGTTGTAGTTTCTGTCTGCTGTAGACCGGTTGCCACCAAGGTTACAGGACTCCTGTCTCTCCAGGTATTCTACCAAAACCTGCGGTGGGAGGGGGAGGGGTCGAGATTTGAATTTATACCTTTGGCCAGAGTATTTGGGCGGAAGATGATATAACGAACCAGACTTGAATTCGTTACATTAACATACCTATGGAGACATAGTTTATATAAAAATAGTTTTATATCATATGCAGCCAACTTTTCTTACACTAAACTTATCACAAACTTTCTTCAGCCGTCCAGATACTAGTTTTACCAAAAGTTTGCTGAATAAATCTTAGACTCTTCCGATCATGAGCGTACCTGATATATATTCAAAACAACAAATGGACACTCGGACGAGACCTAAATCCGACGATGTAATTTAAACCTTAAGTCACAACGCATGCATTGAATTGAACTTATCAGACCAGCCACCCCATGCATATACCGTCAGTCACGTTTTCCCAGAAGGAACCAGGGAAAAAAATGGAAGACACAATGGCGTCAGCCAATTGTCGGCATATTGAACCTGGTATTGTAAACGCCATTTGTGTTTGCTACGATTTCTCTCTTGGTCAAAATCGAATCGGTTTTAGTTTCCAAATCTTAAGTAAAACGAAGCCGAATTTCAGTAAAAAAATAAAAATAATAATACAACAAAGAAAAAGCTGCTGCTCTAGGGAAAACGCGAGGTCAGATTGGGAGAGTGTCAGTTTGCCGTGGAAAGATTTTTGGCTCATTAATCTACGATTACACTGCGTGATTGCAGCGACCTTTAATTCTAAACAGAAAGATGAAACGAACGAAGAGATACACTCTCTGCAGAAGTTATATTTAGCGTATATTTTTCTCAAGGAAAACTTCTATGAGTTTCTGTTCAGAAGCAATAGCCCGCCGATAAATTTGGGAAACTAATAAATCATACAAAAACAATTTGAAATAAAATTAATTAAATCATTTATCAAATACTATCTGTAAAATTTACAATATTTTTAGAATATAACTTACTCGGAAATAAAACTCGATTTTTTACTAAAAGTCACACAAAAGAAGGCTTAATAACCACTTAAGATAGAGGGTTACTGATATGATATGTAGATATGACGATAAACTATATTCGGTAGCAAGGACTCTGATCTGGAAATTTGAGGTACTGAGTTGGGTGGAGCTACCTCTAAATTGCTGTTCTTCCCAGGTCCACCCTGACCCAGGGTGGTAGAACATGTTAAGATACAAGCTATGGGGAAATAATGAACCCTTAAAGGGTAACAAAATCCTATAAAAGTATATAAATGCCAGCCATACCTTTTTAAATGTTGAAATATTAACAACAATATATATAGTAAAATTTAATAGCAAAATGTCCAACAGTATATTTTATTAGTAGTTGATAGCATACAATTGTATTTAAAATATATAAAATAGTTTTCAAAATATTTCGATTTCGGCATTAAATAACCCGTAAATATTGATATCAACCAACCAAAATTAAAGGCATACAATTGTATTCAAAATATATTTATTTGAAGCCAGAAAATAGTGCTCAAAATATTTAGATTTCGGCATTAAATAACTCATAGAGGTTGATATGCCGCTAAATAAAATGAACCAACCAAAATTGAAAGCATACAATTGCATTCAAAATATATTTGATTGTAACCATAAAATAGTGGTCAAAATTTATAGATTTCGGCATTAAATAAGCCATAGAGGTTGATGTGCCTCTAAACAAAATCAACCAACCAAAATTGAAGGCACCCAATTGTGTTCAAAATATATTTAATTAAAGCCATATAATAGTGTTTAAAATATTTAGATTTTGGCATTAAATAACCCATAGAGGTTGATATGCCACTAAATAAAATCAACAAAGTAAAATTGAAGGCCTACAATTGCGTTCAAAACATTTAATTAAAGCCATTAAATATTGTTAAAAAATATTTATATTTCGGCATTAAATAAAACATAGAGGTGTGGCTATGCCCTTAAACAAAATCAACCACCCAAAATCGAAGGCATACAATTGCGTTCAAAATATATTTAATTGAAGCCATAAAATAGGGTTCAAAATATTTAGATTTCGACATTACATAACACATAGAGGTTGATATGCCGCTAAACAAAATCAACCACCTAAAATTGAAGGCATACATTTGCATTCAAAATAAAAAAAAATAATGTTAGAAATATTTCGATTTCACTATTAAATGAAACATTGGGGTGTTGATATGCTACTAAACAGAATCAAAATAAAAAAAAATAAGGTGTGGTCAGGTCGATTTTGGAACCCTGATATTCCACGCAATTTAAAAGTTGGGATTTGAAATGATAAATAATCGAAAAAAAGTCTTTTTTTTTTTTCTAAATCGCAGTCGTTTTTTTGAGGAAACGAGTTTAAAAATTAAGTTTAGGTTCAAAATCCTTCCAGTGTTCAATGAAATATATTTGTAAAGGAAAGGAATTCATTTTGTATTTAATAATCGGACAGATTTTTATGACTTAAAGATACTCGTATTTGAGTAGACGCCCCGTTTATTTATTAAATAGTATATTTATTTATTTTCTTCTGCCAGCCACAATATTCTAGAAACCTTTCCAGAACGGAGAAAATAAAAACAAAAACTGTCTATTGTTCTTTTTTTTATATATTAGAAAATTTACTATATTTACCTCGATTTATCTCTGTTGAGCGAGGTACGAAACCTATACGGAACCGTCATTTACGCTGACGTGCCTTAACCGTCTCGGCCACAAAGAACCTTTCGGTAGACAAGGTCGAATTTACTGCTTATAAACTTCAATCTTCTATGAATCTCGCACATTCATAATTGTGGCCGAGACGGTTAAGGCACGTCAGCGTAAATGACGGTTCCGTATAGGATGCAGGTTCGAATCCTGTCAAAGAACGAATATTTTCTGAAAATTTCTCGGACATTTAGGCCAGTAAATGTTATTTAATACTGTTTATCATAAACAGAGCATTTGCTTAAATACTTGTATCTATAAATAACAACGTTAAACATAAAAATGTCTTTAATAAATAAATTGTCGGACCTTGTCCATTTCTTAATATATATATATATATATGGATGAGCGAGTAAAAGACAGTTTATAGGGATATAAAGGAAGATAATTGTTATTTCTAGACATGAACTGGTCATGATTATAGTGATCGGAAGTCAGCTCCAAAAAGGAGTGAATTGTGACAGAAAGTTGCTCGAATGGGAATTACATCTCCCCAATGAAAGACGAAGAGAATAAAAATGGTTCTCTGGAATCTAAGTAGTAAGCCGTGATGGTTGGAATTGGTGAAACTATAGAATTCAGTCCATCTGAATTTTTTAAACCATGGAAATGGCGATAGAGTTGCTAGAGGATTTGAGTCTGTAAGGGAAGAGGTATTGCCTGAATTATATTAGGGAGAAGATTTATATCATCTTCTTACCAGATAAGATTAGTAATAGGTCTCTTTTAGTTATTGCTTCATTATATGTAAAGAATTGTAAATAATTACATCTATAATATTTTCTAGGAATGTTCGGAATAGTTAATCAGTCTGTTTTTCTTTGTCACTGTCATTCAGTTAATGCTACATTCCTTCGACAATGCATTGGTCAAACAATCAACAAATCATCATATATATATATATATATATATATATATATATATATATATATATATATATATATATATATATATATGGGGGTATTAAAAGTTTGAAAAGCTCTAACGAACAGCTTGTCCTCATTCCTCTGACAATCTTAATCTGGTCTTATGCATTTACGAATTATCGTCTAGACGTAGTTCCTATAGATCTTTGATAATATCTACAGGTTTACCCAGACTGTATGACAGAATTTCATTTAATGTCTGTCTATTTATCTATCTATCTCAGTCTATTCATATCGATCTCAATCATCTAGCTAACTAGCAATCAGTCTTTTCGTATTTATTTATCTATCAGCCTTTTCATATCTATCTATCTAGCTAGCTAGCTATGTATATATCACAGTCTTTTCATATCTATCTCTCAATGTATATATCACAGTATCTATCTATCTATCTATCTATCTATTACAGTCTTTTCATATCTATCACAGTCGTTTCATATCTATCTTTCTATCTCTCTTTTTATATCTATCTACCA